AATACTGGTTGGTGTGGTTAGAGTGTTGAAATGATGTAGGTTCTTTTGTAAAATATGCTTAGGATTGGTTCTTGATGAAGGAAAAATTCAGAAATGACCATTTGAACAACCTTTGAAAAATTGCTCATGAACATGTGAAGGAATTTCAAAATTTCTGTTTTGTGAGACTTTGGATGGATTATAATGGTGTGTTTGGTGTTGTTTAATGTTATAGTGTTGTGCCTCGTGATTTGGTGGTTGAGGAACAACCATTGGAGGCAATACTTGTTCAAGACTAGAGGTCTTGAGTGACACCAAAGAAGGTTAGTTTGGTTTAATGTGTATACCTGATGTTGAACATGAATGCCTTTGTAAAAGATGCTAGGAAATTGTTCTTAATGGTGAAAATGGAAAGTAATCATCAATTGGTCACGATATGATTTTTGGTTCATGAAAAAGTATGGTTTCTTGTGATTTATGTAATGGTGTGAAATGTTGATGGAACTTTGTTGTATGATTGATGATATAGTCTTAAATGATGTGGATTGTTGGAGGAAAAACCATGAAAATAACACCTTAGGCATTTCGAAATTTTGGTCTTGAATAAGTGTATTTTCAAAGAGGGTTAACATGTTTAATGATGTTGGGATGCAAATGAACCTTAGTGTCTTCACAAAATGTGTTAAACATTGGTTCTTGACATAGAAAACAAATAATGAAACCATCATTTGTAACATTTCTAGAATTTTGAATTATGTACAAGTAAGGTTACTTGGGTTCTAAGTAATGTTGATGGTGATTGTGTTCATTTGGTTTATAGTGTGGAATCAAGTGAGCTAATGGAGAGAAACCAAGCCGTGGACCAATCAATGGAGCATGATCTTAAATCTTGAATGAACTAAGATTAGTGTAAGTCATCAAACTTTAGTTTTTGATGTTGTCTTCACTAGCTTTGCATTTGATGTGTAATGTGAATAATTGATTGCATTTTCACCTATGATTAGGTGTTGCTTGTGGCAAGTCATTTTGTTGATATTTCAAGCATATTCAAGTGTGGAAAGCTTACTTGAGCTTGAAGAAAGCATTGGATAGGAAGCCTTCTTAAAGTAAGCTTTCGGACCTTGAGATTTATCCCTTGTTTGTTCCACTATGCTCCGAGGGAGCAGTGCTTTATGTGTGGTGTATTTAATTGCACTGAAATATGGTATAATGTTTAGTTTGTGTATTTGCTTTGTGTGTTGCAAAAGACACGCCTGGTGATATGCTGCATAAGATGGACAGGCCTTATGGTGTGCTACATAAGATAGACACACCATGTGGTGTGCTACATGCCATGTGGTGCGTTATATAAGATGGACAATTTCTTATATTTTGTATGTTACAAGATGGATTCCTTGTATAATGCATACTTTATCTGTTCTCTGGTCAATAAGATTGATTATTTTATAAGCATTCATGTGATGACTGATGGATCAGAGGAATAACTTGATTGATATTGATATACATTGCATGTGTGTGTGTGTGTGTGTGTGTGTGTGTGTGTGTGTGTGTGTGATGTATTATCTCTATTTTATTACTTTTACACCTGAAGTGAACTTAGAGATGGAGGAATCCTCCAAGGACCCTTAGTTTATTGAGATTGTTGTCTCACCCCTTGTGGGGACTATATTTATGGTACTAAGACTGATGATGTTAGAGCATCAAGTGGCAAGAGGCCAATATAGAGTTTATTGCATATCATTAGACTGTGATGATCCATTTTGATGTACATGTTCTTACATGATGATTATGTATTTTTGAAAAGCATAGTGTGTACTTATGCATATTTTATACAAGACTTGTATATTCCATTTGGAAGAACATGTAATGAGATTTGTAATATAAACATTTGAATGTCGTGGTTTATGGATGTAATTATGTAAAGGACATTATGATATTTTGTTTTGAGATGTATGAGGTGTAATTCGAAAGCCTATGCAATGAATTGCTAGGTAATGGATTTTATGTAAATTTGATGTATCCATTATGCTTGTCAAAGATGAACCAATGAGGTTGTTCATTATTTATTATAGTATGTTGCTATTTATAAAAATTAATGTATGATTGCCAAATAGATAAAAAGTAAAGGCACGAAGCCTATTATGTATAATCCATTGATGGATTCTAGGTTGGATTAGTTGATAGTTGGATTGATGTATGGAATTTGATAACATTCTATTAGGTACATTTTGCCAAAGTGGGAATAATCTTTAAAGGCTCCAAATACAAAGGAGATGTCGTCCGCTTTATTCTAAAAAGACAGAGGTGTAAGAAAGCATCACATAGTTTTAATTGGGGACGGAATAATTGACGAATTGTAATACATTCAGAAATGAAAAATTTTATTCACGGTTTGGCATAAGACCAAATGTGGTTCAATTTAAGTTTAGCTTCCGTATTTATTTGATTAAATATGCTGCGCTTAATACCATACGCAGAATAATACACCGGCGATCAACGAAGTGTTACAATCTCTATAATTCTTCTAACATAATTTGTTATAAAAATATGCAATTAAATGAGTATTAATCTTATGTAGAGCAACTATTAGCCATAGATGAGCATTTATCTTATGCTATAAGATGTTTTTTTAGTGAATAATGTTTGGCAGGAAACTCGAATCTGACATGTGTGATTCTTATAATATTAAATTTATAATTTTATTACGTTTTGTGAATGATCTTTACATTACTTATTACATATATTTATATAATATTTATTATTTAATTACAATACCTCACAAACATTCTATTCAACAATTTTCACAAATGTGAGGTGATATACTATTCCACCTTGATTTTTCTTCATTCCTGTCTTGCATGTCACCTTGCTTCCAAAGGTGGTTATATAACAGCTTAGCTGTTTTAAGGAATGTTGTTCAGGTCCCACTGTATAGAAGAAAATATGTAACTGGATTCCCCTTTATCCTTATTGTACCGTTGGGATCTTCAAGCCTACTATGTTTCCTTCAGGGATGAGTCACTGTATGGATAATACCCTTGGCACAGGTACAGACCAAGCTAAGAGGTGTTTTGCCCAGTATAAGCAAGCAATCAACAATGGATAAGTAAGTGATAATATGACTCAAAGTAAATGAGCAGAATAACGATACATAAGATAACTTCATGGTGTGCCCATGGGGCTATTTATAACCGAGGGTGGTGTGCACCTGGTGTGGGTTGGTGAGAAGGGAGTCAACCTCCTTGGAAAACACTATCGGTGGCAGTGTTGGGCGTGGCAGGCGCTGCTGTTGTAGCAGCGCTGCGCCCTCTGTACCTGGTGGTGTCAGCGTGGGGCAAAGGGGGCAGTTTCCCCTTATGGCATTTGGGGCGAATGCCTTTGGGGTTATGGTCCCAAGGTAGGACATTTTGGTACTTCCTCTTGGGAGAGTCGCCCTGTTGGGAGCTGGGGTATCATCTCAGCTGGTAGGGCTGACGTGGGTGTTGGGTTGAGGTTGGACCCTTACCTTTGAGCTACAGAGTTATTAAGCCATCCAGAACACTTATGATGAGCTAAGGCAAGTAGGACTCCATGGCATGCGGGTCCAAGCCTGGCCCAAACTAGAGCAGGCCATCACAAATTATTATTTTATTATAGTACTAATTTTATTTTATTTTATTTTTATTGATAGAAATTTGTAGTTTTTCATTTTATGAAGCGACAAGGATTAGGATCCTATTATAAAAAAGACCATCATATTAACCAACCATAAGGTTGGGCAAGTTAATCGTCTAAATTGTTATGTTTTGTTTCGGATTTTTTTATTTATGAGATATTTTCAACATTTTTTTTGTAGATACGTTTGTTTCAGATTTTGAAAGGTGGGAAATGGCCGTTTGACCAAAAGAAAAACCAATTTATCTCGTGTAAACATACATGGGGAATCATGTTTTCCCATTTGCAGGGGTAAAAATGTAAACCAATCAAATAGTAAATGTAGCCCGTTTTAGCTCATAACTTAGTTTTCAAATCTAATATGGTGGTTTTTCGGCAGGAAAATTATTTCAGTCACTGAAATGAAATTCTAGAAAAAAGAGAATAATAATATTATATGTACACCCCCAAAATAATGAAACTAGACTTTCTTGTCTAGCCCATTACGGAAATGGGCCATAGAAGTCACACCAATAAGCTCATTTTCCTTTTGCTTGGAGAGTAAAAATATTTCACTACCGAGGATGTAAAATGAAATAAAAAATAATAATAATGAAATTTTACACCTGACAAAAAAGAAGGATGTAAAAATATAGACATTGTACATTGATTTATGATATGTGGTTTCATTTATGATATATAAATAATGATCAATTGACATTGGTGTAAACTTAACACATTTATTATATTAAGATTTTGATAAATCTAGAATTTAAACTATAAAATAATTGTTTTAAGATTATGTAAACCAAATTTAAATTTAAATAAGAATACATTTGTGATAAAATAGGTGATATTTCATATGTTGAAAAGCATATTATACATTGAATTTGGTAAAATCATTTTTTTTTTAATTTTTTAAGTAATATGTATATGTACTTTCAATCAAATAGTAGGTTTTGTAGTAAATTCATTTTATAAAAATTAACAATTAAAAGAAAAGGGAAAATGATAATATTAGATTTTCTGTCTTTCATATCTATTAATCAATGTTGTATTATGGTGACAAAGTTTGCATTTTCTGCCTTGTTGAAGTCACAGCTACCTATCAGTCATGAAACATGGGGCAAATCAAATGTGTTATCAGTATTGTTAACGTAGTTAGCTTAGTTGGAAGATTACTTGGGTTAGTTTGCTCACTCAACAATCGGTTACATTCTCTAGTCTTTGTAACACAAGAAAGTGTGTTCATCTGCATCAAGGCTAAACTTAATTAATGTAATCCAAACTCTGCGAAGAAAGAAATATCATGAAGAATTTAGATTCGCTTTTTAAGCCCCGTCCTAAAAACTTAGATAATTGATAACAGAACATGACATACACCTAGCTTATACAAGAAAACCTGTCCATCTTCTAAAACTCCTCATGTCACTCACTTCAGACACTGCCATTCCTATCCCTGCTCTTCCTCCATTTCCAACTCCTCTATAATACAACCTCCATTGATTTGCTTCTGTTCCCATTTGAACTAAACATGGGGATCCCACACCCTTATCATCCCAACAACCTTTATCTGATGGCTTTAGAATTGCTTCATCTTGAACCCTAACCCATTCCTTGAGTCCATCAGGAGAAATAGCCATACCAATACTCCTTCTCCCATCAGCATCAACACCTTCATATGCCATAACATAGTTCCCATTTCTCCAATTCCTAATCACACTTGTATTCATTACTCCAAACTCATCAAAAGAACCAGATTTTCCTCCTCCCATTATTTTCCCCAACTTCACCCACCTGATTCCATCCCTTGACCTTGCAAGCCCAATAGCAAAGTGCCCTTTTTCCACATCAAATGAATAATAATACATCCTGAGGTCACCATTGCAATGGCAAACAACTTGTGGAGATGAAATAAACAAAGAGTCCCACTCTTTCTCTGATCCAACATCAAACAAAGCTCCACTATGATGTTCTCCATCAATTCTAGCCCAATGCCTCCCATCTTGACTGACAGCCAAACCCGGTAAGGACTTGAGAATTTTCACACACCCACAATTTCCATAATTTACACCATCATTAATGAAATACCTATATGGATTTTCCAAATTGAATTCCAGAGAATTATCAAAAAAAATTACCTTCTCAGAGCTGTAGCCAGTGTAATAAAGCCAGTAAACAGCACTGGAAGCTCTAACCCATGAACTACACATAATCACCACCTCAGAAGGCCTAATACCCTCTGTATCAAATTCCCACCATTCCCTACCACAATTCATCACAAACCCCACACCTAAACTTGATCTAGCAGGTCCTCCCCCTCTCTCCCAGTGAACCCCATTACTTGAAATTGCTAAACCAATCAAATCACAAGATGGGTTCCCGCTAGACCTTCCATAATACCACATAAACCATCTCTCTTCTTCATCGCTGAGAAACCTCTTAAGCACTGGCGACCCAATTTCTGCACTGTCCCACGAAGTTGAAGGACCCAAATCAAACACCAACCCTCTGGATGCATATGATGAAGAAGATAATTGTGAAGAAGAAGAAGAAGAAGAAGAATTAGAAAATGCTTCACTTGTATCTGATTCCGAAGCCTTTTGGCATTTAGAAACTGAATCTTCACCCTTTGATTTGCTTTCTGTCTCACTGTCCGTGCTGGTATCTGGTTTTGTGGAGCAACGTGGGAAAGAAGGAATAATGTTGTTGCTACGGACAGAGTTTGAGGAATGTTGAAGTGCGAGCATGTTGGGTTTGGTCAACACCATTGATGGAGCTAAGGATGATGATGGGTTTGTACATGGTTGGAAAATGGAAACGGAAAGGGTATTGAAGGCTTTCATCGATGCCATTGATGATGCTGCATCCATGGCTGTATAATCTGCAGAGTGAACAGAACCTGTGTTGATGAAGTGAGCAATGTAAGAAGCTAAATTAATGGTGATATATAAGCACCAAGATGATGTCTTGATCAGTTCTGAAATTTGGATGCATAGGAAAGTCAGAAGCATGGATTGGTCAAAGACTAACCTTTTATTTGCTTTTCAACATTTGTTCGTTATCCGAAGTTCAAACCCTCACACTTTTCTTTTACCAGAAAAAGAAGTAACCAAAGAAGAACCTAAAACCTTCACTTTTGGATCCTCTCACGGAGAAAAAGCTGTCATGTGATGTTATTTGATCACAATCGTTAGTTGATAATGAGATAAGAAAAAAAATATACATATGGGTTTGTAGTAGATAATGGCTTTTTATTTTATTTTTTGGTAGTGTTTTTTTTATTCAACCTGAAAGATCGAACTCCCAACCTTGTTGTTACTAAAGCTTTGATATCATGATAAGTTTTATGGGGGTGTTTATCAACCGATGCAAATTGCGGTAACCGAACCGATAATCGAATAAATCAAAAAAAAAAAAAAATTGCAAATTGTAATTGGATTGGATCGATTTTCGATTTGGTTGGTGAAAATCGACTCAATCCAAATCGATCTAATATATTAATTCCTCACTACCTACTTGGGTCTTCCCCAATCATAGCGTAAAAAATTCTAAACTCAAGACTCATTAACCCATCAACTAAACTCAAGTAAAAACCTAGTCAAATCTCATCAGTCAAATTTCATCTGTGTAGAGCTTCATATCTCATGCTTCTATAATTCCAAAAAAAATAAAACTTTACAAAACCAATATATACAAAAGATATGTTATTTGCGCAATAATCATACAACAAATTTTAGGCTTTCAAAAAATCAAAAACTGATTCAATTCGAATTGAAAAAAATTGGATTGGATGGGATCATATTTGAAAAAAAAAAAATCAAATCAAATGGATGATTACATGATAAACCGAAGAGATTGGATTGGATCGGATGAATTTTGCATCCAAAATCGATCCAATGCAGCCCGCGAACACCCTTAATAAAAGCCACTCCAACTCAAAATCTTAAGGGTTTGCGTGAGGCTAAATTAATTATTTTATATCTCTCTAACACACCTCCTCACATAAGAGCCTTTTAGGCTTGAAGTGTGAATATGTCACAAGCCTGTTACTGGTTTGTCTTGTGCTGCATAAGTCCATTTTTTGTCTACCTTATACTTTTCTTAATTTCACCTAAAAATGAGGGCAGTGAGAATTGAACTCGTGATTTCATAGTCATTGAAATTCTGATACCATAATAAATATCACTTCAACCCAAAACCTTAAGGGGACGTTTGGTAGAGGAGATATTTTTTTTTACCAGGGAATCATAATTAATGGAAATATGGTAGAAAAGTAAGTTTATTAGAAAGTAAAACTGAGAAAAAAAGAAAATATAGATTTCATTGATTGGGTAATTCATTTATACACATGAGGCTCTTATATACAAGAGCATAACTAGAAAAGAGAAAGATCTAGAATATCTCAATTAAAATAAAATAAAATATTTACATCTCTAATACTCTCCCTCAAGATGAGGGGTGAATAACATAAACACTCCATCTTGGAAAGAAAGTAAATAAAAGTTTCATGGAACATCAACCGGAAAAATCGGTAGCACAGCAAATCAACTAGAATGATCATCAGTCTGAAGAGCTGATAACAAGATAGTGCAAGAATGGACATCAGCAAAAGAAGGAAAGGCTGGTATGGACATCGGCCACATAATATAAACGGTGCCGGGATGGACATCGGCTAAATCAAATGTTCTGAAATGAACATCAGCAACATAAACAATGCTCCCCTTGAATAAGAAGCCAAAATAAAGCCAAACAATAGCAAAATAAAAAAATCCAATAACATGACTAAAATAACAACGACAATACATCAGAAAAGAAAAGAAAAAATAAAAAAAAATCCATGAATGAAATTCATGAAAAAACTACAATGATGTATAAAATGAAAAATATTGATTTCATTAATTGGCTAATTCATTTGTACACATGAGACTCTTATATAGAAGAGCATAACTAGAAAAGAGAAAGATCTAGAATTTTTCAATTAAAATAAAATAAAATATTTGTATATCTAATACTCCCCCTTAAAATGGAGGGTGAATAGCATGAACACTCCATCTTGGGAAGAAAGAAAATAAAAGCTTCACGGAACATCAACCGGAGAAATCAGTAGCACAACACAGCAAATCAACTGAAATGATCATCAGTATGAAGAGCTGGTAAAGAGAATGTGCTCGAATGAACATTAGCTAAGGAAGGAAGGGCTGGGATGGACATCAGCCACCTAATATAAACGATGTCGGGATGGACATCAGCAAAATCAAATGTTCTGAAATGTACATCAGCAACATGAACAATGCTCCCCTAAATAAGAAGCCAAAATAAAGCCAAACAATGGCAAAACCAAATACAAGCCAACGACAGTACATAAGAGAAATAAAAAAATTAAAAAAAATTACATAATGAAAAATCCATGAATAAAATCCATCAAAAGCTACAATTATGTATTGCAATAAAATCCATGAGCTCCATGAATCTTCACAAACTTGCAAAATGAGAAGAGAAAGAAAACAAATAGACGAAATAAAAATATATCAGAGACCCAAATTGACAAAGCTGGATGACTAATGAGAGAGAGAAAAATGGCATGGGAATAACGCTGATCGAAAAAGAAAAGACCAAAAGAAAAGCCCGGAGAAGAAAAACGCAGATTTCAAATATGAACGATCTGAAATAGAAACAGTCAGAGAGATGGATGATGCGGCCGAAAAATGAGACACGGTCGGAGATGATGACTGGAAAAGAAGGAGACGCTGCCGGAAGAGAGAAGGGCATGGCCGGAAGAAGAAAAAAGCGGCCGGAGGAGAGAAAAACACGACAAAGGTCCATGGAGGTCCGACGAACAAGAAAGTGAAACAGATTTGAAAGATCTAGAAGCCGCTAGAGAAGATGACCTACAAAGAACATAGATCTGGGTAGATGGAACCACAGATCTGGAATGCTGCTAGAGAGATCTGGAAAACGCATGGAGATTTGGCGTAACTAGACCAGAGAAACAACGTGGAAGGTGCTGGAAAAAAAAAAGATGACCAGCAACTAATTTTTTTTTGTAGAAGAATATGCTGGAAAATCATGCAGGGCGGAAAGTGGTTGGAGAAAATGATTGAAAAAAAAAACAGATTTAAAGAGAAAAGAAGATCGATGAATAAAATACAAAAAAAAAATATGATTGCAGCGGAGCTTCCATTCATGGAGGATGAAAATTTGCTCTTGATACCATATTAGAAAGTAAAACTGAGAAAAAAGAAAATACAGATTTTATTGATGGGGTAATTCATTTATACACATGGGGCTCTTATATAGAAGATCGATGAATAAAATACAAAAAAAAATATGATTGCAGCGGAACTTCCATTCATGGAGGATGAAAATTTGCTCTTGATACCATATTAGAAAGTAAAACTGAGAAAAAACAAAATATAGATTTTATTGATTGGATAATTCATTTATACACATGGGGCTCTTATATAGAAGAGAATAACTAGAAAAGAGAAAGATCTAGAATATCTCAATTAAAATCAAATAAAATATTTATATCTCTAATAAAGTTTGATAGAAAATTTTTTAAAAAATTGTTTGGTTGACCGAAATATTACTGGGGTAATTTATTTAAATTTGCAAAGTCTATATTTGGTTGAATGTAAAATAGTGATGAGAAAATAGGTTAAATTGACAAAAATACCCCCATTATAAATTTTTTAAAAGAACCATTAAAAGTGAGTCTCTCTTAACATATCTTATAAACTTTTACTTATCGGTACTAATCAATGCAAATTTGTCACCTACCATCCCTCGTCCCTCTCCTAGTTTTTTTTATTGAGAAAAGTGTTTGTCATTTTAAATGACATGAAATTATGTCATTTTAAGAGAGAGATAGACACAAAAAAATAATTTTATTTAAATTTTAAATTAAAAACAACCATTCACTTTCTCTCTCCCATGATCTTCATTTTGTGTGTGTCTATTTCTCTCTTAAAATGATATAACTTATGTCATTTAAAATGACAAACACCAAACTTTTATTTATTGCTTCTTACAAAATTAAAACAACCATATTTTGCTATTTTGCTTTGTTTGAACTTAAAGTGCCCCTCCTTAAAAATCATGAATCCTTGACCACATCTTATCTCTTCCAACTCTGAAGATTTTCACAACAGTGGATAATATCGATATTATCTTATTTTCTTCTTTGCATATAAATGGACCAAAATCCCCAGTGCTGCGGACGAGAGCTCATTTTAAACGCATGAGGGTCAAATTGGTCCATAATTTTTCTCTCATTTTTTCACTTCTTCATTTATATCAAAATACTATATCTCAAATGAGTTTTTGGAACAGTAATAATCACCCAAAAATCAACACAAAAAGAGTTTTCTATACTTCCTAATCTCCTATTTTTTTTTTTTTATAAACTTATATCAAACATGATATTTCTCAATACCCATGCTCACTTCTCCATCAAACTCAAAATAAAATCTATACCAAATACATCCTAAAGGAGTAAGTATTGTCTCACAAGATGAAAAAGGTGAAACTAGTGTTGTGTACAATAGCGTTTACTGCAAAATTATAATCATGTTCACGTCGTTATTTATATAATAAGATTATTCTCCAAACAAATCATGCCATAAATCATTTGAAAAATAATTTCGATAATAATTTTGACTTTCCTTTGAACAATTGCTGTCATCAGTTAGTTTTACATCTCAATCATGTGCACGTATAAACATATTTAAAAAAATAGGTTATTCTACCTATTATTTTTTCTGCATATCTTTGCCTACCACCCTCTAACACCGTTGGATCAGAATCTCAACTACATTTATTATTTCTCTCTCTTATTGAGATTCTAATCCAACGGTGTTGGAAGGTGATA